CGATTTACTATCAACTTATCAATATAGTAAGTTATAAATATGATTCATCAAACAATTAATAAACACTAGTATTCGATCATGAATGGCTTTAAAAATGATTTTGGACACGAAATGTGGCGGTTTTTGGGGAAAATTCCCATATTTTCGTTCCCATATCATTTAGGTCACCGAAATTATATCGAATATAAATATGTTTCGTAAGGTATTAAACCTGCCTAGTTTTACTTAATTATTAAACATATTTTTACATGTATTGTCGATGTTTCGTTTTATATAGCTGCAACACACAATTGTTAAAATAAATCTGTTGGGATGAAATTTAACTTATCTATTATTGAAACAACGTGAAATATTTCCAAATTTTACCAACAAGATATAAAATTTAAATATATCAAACAAACAATATCATGAAATAACAAATATAAATTATAAAAGAAATAAAAGTATGGTTAAAATATGGTTAAAAGAATCTACATGATAAAAATGTTTAATGAACCATGAGTAATAGTTGTCAAAGTTATCTCTTCAATAATAATGTAATTTCTTGGGACACACAATAAGACAAACACTTCAGGATGAATTAGTGAATTCTTCGTAGAACAATAAAATATCTACATCGTTAGTCCTGCTTAAATATATATAGGTTAATCTCAAACTGCAAGTAAAGAGTACCTATCTCCATGAAACAAATAAATTCCAGAATACATGGTCAAAATCATTTATACAAGGGACAAATAAATTTACAACCCGAAAATGGGGGAAAAATACATCAACAACCAAAATTAAGCCAAAAATCAGTTTGGCCAAAAATAAGAAGATCATTGATCATTATTGAACTACTACTATCCTATTGAGTCCAAAAATGTTAGTACGATATTGATGAATGAAACGTTCTTCCTCCCTATTCAATTCAACAGGTCTTACCTGTTTAACTATCCCCAGTTTAAACAATTCCATATTAAAATCATTTTTTCAACCCAAAGAAGACTGTCGATTACAAAATGTTCATTTTTGTATTCATAGCTGTATTTGTACTGTCATTGTTTGGCCAAAATAAGTATTCTCCTTAACTTTCGACCACTTTAAGAACACATCGTGTATTGAGCAATTTGATCAAAACCCATAATCATGGGTAGAGTGGACCGCTGCCAGTGTCTCTCTTTCCCAAACAAAAGGAAATGATATTAATTTGATTGACCGTCTGCAATGCAAAATGATACCGAGAATGAAATCGGTCGCTCGCTTTCCCCATTCATTCACGGCTTACGAATTTTAATAAGTTTCGATTAATTACATCAATCACATGCTGTACAAATCTCTTTGGGTTGCGTTCGGGTCGATACCTAGTATTTCGGGATACGGGTGGTAGTTAGTGTCCAATTAGCTGATGTTTATTGAATCTTTATTGCCGAGTACAGCTGCCTTCGGGTAGTTCTTCTTAAATCTATTACAATTGTATATGATTCAATCAAAGTAATATTATTTCCTTTTGTTTGGGAAAGAGAGACACTGGCAGCGGTCCACTCTACTCTATTCCCATGATTATGGGTTTTGGTCAAATATCATCTATTTTTGATTATAATGTCAGGGTACTTTAAAAAGTCGAAATATAAACTCATAACTTCAATAATAAGGAGGTTATTTCAACATTTTCGAAATTTTACCTTTGAAAACATTTCCTTGTGTTTAGGTAAGCATATCTGACGATCACTGACTGAATAATGAATATGCCACTTTATACTCATTCAAGTTGGCATTAAATTCATATATAATGACATTGAACTGTCGTGGCAAAGCAGAATTTGTTCGAAATCACGATTGAGCAAAATTCTCATCTTTCGCTCGTGCAAACTTTGAGCGGACATTGCGTGCGCATACAATATGGAATCAGCGTAAATTTTTGCATGTTGGTGTTTTATATATTCTTTAATAAGCATACAAAGTTTCAAAAGATTTCAAAAAAAACTTAGATCACAACGGGACTCCAAAGTTGACAGAAAATGGTGAAAGTAGCAATTTTTAGTGATTTTAGCAATTTTATATCAATTTGGGCGTGTCCCCACCTAAGATGAGAAGTATGTATGATACCGGGCGAAAAGTACGTACTTGTACTTTATTTTGAAAAGTACGTATGATACCTCAGTGTACGATTCAAAAAATTTTCAAACTTATTTTCACAGGCGTGATGTAACGTTTTTTAGATCCGACGTTTTATTTATTGGAAACTCCCGACTTCCACGATTGAAATTTCATTGTCATGATGGTTTTGAAAGCCATATTCATGGAGATAATAGAAACACTCAATCGCAGATAACAAAGAAAGTTTAATAAGCTTCATCAATCATCATTTCATCAAAACAAAAAACAATGAACTTTCTAGCATCATCATTTCAACAGATCAAATTTACTTTCAGCTTTAACGTTTCAGTTTTGCATTAGATATAGATGTAGATCAATTTGTTGAATCTCTCAGGCTTAGTGCGTAGTCTTCTACTGCAGTAGATATACTCCATGTCTCTAAAATTTTGTTCGCAGACTGAGGAAGAAGTCAGAACACTAAAAACTTTTCTAGCGATCAAATGGAGAACCTCATAACTCTGATGATCTAGAACTTATAAGACTCTGAAATCGCGCGAAATTTTAAAAACCGCGCGAAAGTATGACACGTGCCGACACGTGCACTACATTATTGTATCTGCGTACTTTTCCGCAGTATTTTAAAAGTACGTACTTGTACGATACTTTGAAAAGTACGTATGATACATACTTCTCATCTTAGGTCCCCACATGTGCAACGTTTTGATTTTCAACTTTTAAACTAGCCTAATGCACAATATAGCCAATATAGACCTATAGGAAGCAGAACTGAGCCCTGCAACTCAAGGGATGGCCCAACACCAGAGAATACTAAATCACAAAATGGGTGTTTTTATAAAATTTTTCATCAAAAAAAGCACTAACTTGAATATCAAATATCTTTATGAAGGAGCAAATAAAGAAAACTTCTCGGTAGATTTTCAGAATGCTTAAGCAATTATCTAACTAATTTGATACCTCTGATAACAAATTTAATCACTCCTTAATGGTTTAAAATTGATTTGAAAAGTTGTTACTTTGTAAACAATCAAGTTTCAAAAGTGGTTAATTTGATGACGTCATCAAGTAGACGTGATGATGATGTTAAATTATTTTTTGACTAGCCTAATGCACAATATATACATATAGAAAGCAGAACTGAGCTCCACAACCCAAGGCATGGCCCAACACCAGAAAATACTAAATCACAACTTTTGTATTTTTATAAAATTATTCTTCAAAAAAGCAATAACTTCAATAACAAATGTCTTTATGAAGGAGCAAACTAAGAAAATTTTCCGGTAGATTTTCAGAATGCTTGAACAATTATTTAACTGCACTAAGCCCTTAAATTTAGAATAAAATTACTCCTTAATGGTGTAGAAAAACGGTTAACTTGATGACGTCATCAAGTGGTAATGATGATGTTGAATTATTTTTTTTCATATAACATAAACTAAAGTCTAAACGATTGTCTTCAAGACCTGTGGTCTGAAATGGCTGTATCTTTAAAGCTTTTGAATCTACGAACACTTGAATGTCGGCTACAATTGACTGCCAAAGCGTCTATACATAGATAGATAGATAGATAGATAGATACAAAGATATACTTTACGACAATCTGTTGTAAAACAGGGGTTCCAGAAAACCCACTTCCCGATACTCCTGAAACTTGAAGAAAAAAATTACAAGCGATTTGGTTAACTCTAGACGCTCTGCAAAGTTTCAGATCTCTAACTCAATTTTAACATGGTTAATATGAATATGGCGATTTTGGGTTTTTTACCAAATTTCGTATAACAGTGCTGGCGAGTATTTTTCGCAAATTTCTTAAAAATCTCATTAAAATTTGCCTGCTGAACTACTTTCGATGAGTCTTAATGCCTGAAAAACAATAAAGAGGGTATAATAGTACAAAGGGTAAATAGTATGGCGAGTGTAATGTTGACGGTCATACTTGCCGGTATTTCGTTAGCCAAAATCAGGTCTGATGCTGAAAAAAGAAATGGGCATGTTTTGCATCTTGGCTTGCCCTGATTCCCGTACTGTAGTGCGACACGTACTCTAGTGCGACACGTACCCTAGTGCGAAAACCTCCAAGATCGACACTGTCGCACTACAGTACGCTATACCTGGACTGTAATGCGACACGAACTCAAGTGCGACAGAAAATTTCCAAGGCATAAAGGTACCATCAATGAAAAAATGAGGAGCCCCAGCCAAACGATCCATTTGATTCCACCGTGCCGAACAGGAAAGATCTTTTCCTCTTCCGCCGAGTAGGTAGAATCACAAAGCAGGAAGTTTTTGTTCGTTCTGATGTAGTCAGGAGTTAGGACAAGATCTGCCAGGGAGCGGGTTTTGACATGGCTTCGAAGGAGAGGGGTCCAACAGCGTCAGCGATTAGGTGTTTCGTAGGGAGGTCAGTATCTGAAGCTTGGTCCATAAGAAGGATAGGATGGGATGTGACCTGAACTTGGAAATATGACAGGATCTGGTGTCGCACTACTGTATTAGATAATGCGACACGATCTCTAGTGCGAAAGAGGGAGGTCTTGTTGAACTTCAGGTTTCGCACTACAGTACGTTTACCACACTTATGAGTCTTTTGAGTCTTCGCTATGCCTATAGATGATTTATAACAATGTAATTTATTCAAGTTATCTCTAAGTTTAAGCACGGAAGGAATATTATTTTACGTTATATTTCACTGATTCTAAATGAATGTTACGCTATATTTTACAGATCTACTATGTGCTCCTTTATAATTAAACTTGCTGCAGTTTCTAATTTTGAGCGCAATCTCGCTATAAAAGAAAACGATGTGATTGCCTCAGACTTGCTCACATAATATGCTAACATAAACTGAATAGTGTCATGCCTCATGTCAGGAAGCAAAGAAGAATGCCAGGAATGTATACCACTTCACCTGGTTCTATAAGGTGTTGTGTTTGTTCTCCTCTGTTCATTGACTTGATGATAACTCCCGCCAGATACATACCTCATCCATACTGATACCATAATGTGCCAGCAGCAGGGTCAACCCAAAACATAGGGACAGAGGCAGGAGGGTGTTAACCTGTAAGAAGGTGTTTCAGGTGAACTTACGGACAAACTTGATGACAAACTCATATACAAACTCACATACTAACTTTATCATCTAGAAACTCAGAAGGGTTCCTTTACTTCTCAAACTTTTCATTAAACGAGAAATTTATTCTTTACCCTTAAAAATCCCAAAAGACCAGAATATTTACCATAATTTGAGCTCTTGAGGATAATTATTACAATTAGAATTCTTACCTCAGAGGTGGAAGGTCGGTAAAACAACTTGACCATTGGGCCAAGAAACCGTCGGCCCACCACCCCAACAATCAGTATGGACAGAACACCGAACAATAAAACGAAAGTTACAGTCCCCTGATCCTCGCCAGTTTCCTGTAACAAGCCACGTGATTAATAAGATGCTTTCTTTCAGTCTCGTGGTATATAACTTGATATTTAACCGGTTTCTCATAAGTTTGGTTTGCTATAAAATTTCGGAAAAAAAAACGAAACAGCGCATGAAATCACGAAATTTAAGGTAGTTTTTAAAAAAAATACCTGTTCGGGTAGTGAGAGAAGCTTTTTGACAGGAGCAGGAGGTGGGAATGTAGCACGTTGTGGTGAGGCGCGCGCTCAGCTAGAAGTGGTAAACACCCCATTATCAGGGACACCTCTACGTCCTGTAGTACCAGCATTCCCATCATGGAGTTTCTGGTGGTTAGTTTCTATCAAGTGATAAGTTATAATAGCTACTACAGTATAATAGCTACTACAGTATAATAGCTACTACAGTATAATAGCTACTACATCTAATAAAGTAGATGATATATTTAGCTAGCTTAAAGTTTTGTTGCAAAAACATCTTTAGTCACATTTTAATGACTAAAATAAATGATTATCGTTTATAAAATTTTTAAAAATATAGTACATATCATAAATGAACGATGAACGCTGTAATTAATCAATGAACTTTTAAGCTCCACAAACCTGAGGTCCATAACATCCTCTCCTGTATCATCATTCAGGAACTTGATAACAAGGGCGGTACTACTGAAGGACAGACAGAGCGCCACGAATATACTCTGGTAAACTGAGATATGAAACACACTGCCGCACGCTGTGAACACTACTGTTATCAGTTGTGATAATTGAGAGGGGGACCCACCCCCAAAAACCCACTGATTACTCGCCACACCTGAGAGAGTGGGGTCACGTGACCTGGCTAGAACGTGGCTTGGGTATTATGACCGTTGGAACTTTGTGAATATGGTGCTAATATCAATGAAGTACTCATAATTGGAAAATTAAGGTCACTGATAGCAGTTTACAAGAATAATGAGTCTAAAAAGCGTGCGGTAGAACAAAGTCATAGCAAAATTGATTTGTGGATATAGACAGACACATTTCACACCAGCAAAACTTACAAACCTTAACGAAAGAAGCTGGTGAGAACTCCAGACCACAAGAGAACAGGATAAGAAACACTCCTAACTCTCCCACTGTCTCTGTCTGTACGGGGTCCTGTAATACGAGACAAGTTTCAGTATAATCAGAAACTATAGGCAAACCACACGTTTTCATCAAATCAATTATTTGGTTCAATGGTCTTTGATGAAAAATGATGATCCGAACCCGGACTTTAAAATCTTGCAAGAAATAGATAGACCATGCTATATTCATGAGAGTCAGCAACTAAACACTAACTGATGATTCAGTCTAATTGAGAATATAGCATTGCAAACATCAGGATGAAGTTACAATTCTCTTATCAATTCTCACCCACCAAGATAAGATTTAGACAGGAAGGACCGAGTATGACACCGGCGAGTATTTGACCAAATATGGTAGGCACGTGACACACGTGACACAGACCACTGAGAATACCTGTGAACACAGTCTTATCAATGTTATACTCCGTGAACCTTGTTAAAGATCATACACAAGTGGGACTGTGTAGATCATAATTCATAATAGTCATATTTAATTGGTTAGTTTTAAGTGTGATTGGCTAGTTTTAAGCGTGATCAATAGAGTTTTTTAAATGGTGTATATTTTAAAATTAATGTGAATTATAGCACAGACTTTCCGAGAGACAATTAAGTTTACTGAACCAGGTAGTAACTTTATATTAGACATTTGCTTGGTGGCTGGTGCTTACTAAATTTAGAGTCTAAAAAGGGAGTTGTCCAACAAACCTGCCAAAACAAGCATGATAAGGATAGAGAACAACAGAGCGTTATCATGTAAAGGCTGCGTCTTATCAGCTGGAAGCGAGATAACGTATCTGTTACCGTGGACATCCTCCAGATTAACACTCAAATCATCGTCTGAAATTGTTGGTGAGTTAGGAGTCGTCGACGAAAATCGAAATATTGATTCTTAACCTTTTCTTGACGGCACATCATTACGTAGGAACTAGGAATTAGATAAGTTCGCGAATATTCGCGTTGAAGTAACGAAATTTGCGGTGTACGTGCAGTGTGCTTTTTGCAGCTATATTATGCATGTAATAACGTAGAAGAGATTAAATTACGCGCGTAATTAGGTACGTAAAAACGGGGGAGTCTGCGCCATGATCTATACAATATATTTGTTCGGCGCGGCGCGTTACATAAAGTCAGTCGCTGCACGTTCGCCCTCTTGTGATGCTGTGTACAGTGAAGCTGTGAAGTGTAAAGTTGATATATTAACAAATGACATGGCGACGGTAAATAATAAGTTACATTTGAGCTGGTATCATTAAATCCAAGCTGTAACGAACAGTAGAAGCTAAACACAGCTTTAATCGTTAACGAACATACCGCTTTTTGATTCCAACTTTCTGACAGTTTCGATATCTTGTGCTCTGATTGGAACTATTCGTTCGCGAAGATTCTCTTCCAAAAGATCTGCAGCTGATTCAACATCGGTCAGAACATCTGAAACATATGGATTATACACTTCAACAACTTTTCTTGGGATAGTTCAATTTAAAACGACTATGATACGAGAAAAACATCCTCAAAACGTTGCTTGAACATTTTCCCCATTTTTCACTAACTTTCGACAGTTTGAGCTGTTTCACCCTTCACAACTAATATCTTAATTAATAAACTGATACACTAACCTTGAATAATATCGTAAAAGATATTATGCTCCTCATCATCAAAATGAATATCTCTTATCTGGCCTAAAACCAACTCTAACTTATCAAACTTCTCTTCCTCCACCATGGTAGCGTACTGTAATTCTTCTAACCGTGACTTTGCGTTCTTCAGTATCTAGATTAAAACGGGGTGTTAGTTACTACTTAATCTTAATTTCTATTGCATTATTTTATCTCGCATTTGCCTTAAATTGTACAGTCAGGCCATGCTGATTTCATTTCTCAATTGGGTGTTTTTTGTAAAGTAGCAAGACATACCCTGAATAGATAACTTAACTAAATAAATAAATTTAAGAATTAATTAAACGTAAACAAACAACACACGCTTTCAGGGAATTAGCAGCGGAACTCCTCACAGTTTCCTTCAACAGATGAAGAGCAGAGAATATCCACCGTTCAGACTCGATCAACTCATCAGACAACATCCGTAAGACCTTTACTTTCAGCAGGATTGTCTCGTCTTTTGATTTGGATTTTGATTTTATTTCACCTAACAAAGTGAGTGTTGGAAACTTTTCTATCTCGCAAAATGTTACATCATAGCGTAGGATTGTGTCGTTCTTCAAAGTTCAAACTGTTATGCATGTTTGTAAATTGTAACAGTTTTCTCATAGTCATTATAATACTTACATTTTGTGGAAATACTACAGGGTGGCTAAAGTAATACCACACGTAAACCCTTTTCACAAAAAATTTCAGAGAATATAGATATGGGTTCAAACTTCGCAGTTGAAATGTTTCCCGCAAAATTTCATGTTTCAGAGGGTGTGGCACGCCACTCCCTTCTTTTTCACTATTGGTGCACAAAAGTGTGAGAACGCTTTGAGCTAGGAATTCCAAGTTTATAGGACACATTTGGTTTTAATAATTCTAGTAATTTCCCCAAATTTCTTAGGTGATTGTTTAACTAATTAAGCCGTGTTATGTTAATTTTAAGATTGGTGGATACTTGATTCCCGGACCCTTATCAGTGTTATCATCCCTCGTTCAAATCCGTTTGATTGGTGCTCGAGACTGCTTACTGCTTTGTGCTTATAGGGCAGCAACCGATAGCAATCCCAACAGGTTCTCGATATTACGGCAGTAAACAGCTGGGATTTTTTATGGAAAAAAGTCACCATCATGTATTCACGCATATGTGATCAGCTTAGTTCAGCCCCCAACACACAATCATACCGTCCATGGCTATCTCACACCAGTACCGCCTATTATACCCACCACTCACCTCCTACCGGCTCCACTGTTGCAACGTGTTTAGCGTGCTCCCGATGGATCAATGATTGGGTGACGAATTTACTGATTAAGTTGCACGAGATCACGTGTCAGCAGATCTTAAAGGAAATTCACCAAACCCTCTCGCACCAATCCTAGCCTCATTCCAACGACAGACCCGAGAACATGCCTTAGTGTTTTCCTCTTCACTTTCCATCCCTCCCTTCCAAACCATCTCCAAGATACTCGGACAACACGACCATCAATGTCACCCACTCCTCTGTACCTCCCTCATCAATCTCCTCACCCAAAACGAAGACCACTCCCCCTACTCACCTCACTCCCAACACCATCTACGAAATTTCCTGACTACAGTGCCCTCCAAATACGCGGACATGGGACAGACCTATAGTTAGGGAATAATGCAAAATGTCTGGGAAAAAATTTGCGACAAGCTGATTTTTACAGGAGTGTGTTGTCCATAGTGTCAGGAACCACCCCAATGGGTTCTTCTCTCTGGATCTGTTGAGCAAAAATAGTTACAGCCCAACAATTTGTATTCAGGCGCGTATGTCAGCTGGAGGGACCCGCACTTGAAAAACTCGTAACTATCGTAATAAAGAACCCCCAGGGAGCCCATAGGGGTGAAAAATGACCGGCAATAGTGACATTATGTGGGGCGAAATCAGTGTTTTAGGGTCGTCAGATCTTTACTTATTGAGTTAATTTCATTTTTTATAGGCTAACCTCTCAATATTTACTAATAATTTTGGTAATTTTACTTATATTTGGAATTAGCAAAATGTTGTACAATTAAATACATTGTCTAGTTTCAGTATTCAATTTCATAAAATTTACTTTCAATGGTCAATTGATCCTTATATTAGTATAGTTAATTAATATACATATCACATCAAATTCTGTAAAAAAAGGTCCTGAATTATTAGCATGGTTTGTCTTTGATTGGCACTTTTAGGTCACTTCTGGTCTCCCTTTTCCTCAGAGTTGTTTGATTCTCATGAATCGTCTGTCTTTCGGGTGCATTAGTGCAACTTTATCCATGACATTGGCCACATGCAGGTAGACATTTAAAGCCATACTTCCGGCAGAAACACCTTAAGAGTACGTACATGGGTTCTCACCCTCTCCGGAGCAATTGCAGCAATTGAGGTTGGCATCCCTGCCGGGGCAATCGCAGCTTAGTCGGATTGGCGGTAGTATCCTTCAGAACTCATCTACATCCATAAGTAGTGGATTTAGTCTTGAGTGTGGGAGTGTCACCCAGTTTTGGTACTGAAGTTATGATCTTATTATGCTCAGTTGCAGAGGATGTAGACGGTGGTAGCCTTGATGGGTTGAAGTTTTTTCTTTGCTATCTTTCTTATGTAATGTAGCTGAGAAATCTGAGAGTTTCAAGTGCCTTGTTTTATCTCCATAGATATCTGAAACAAGGAGAGGTCAGCTTCTTACTTCATTTGTGAAATCTCACAGAGAGTAAATGATGCTAAAGGACCTCCTCATGTAAAAGAAATGCCTTTTTCAAATATCTTCACCTTACAAAGCCATGTATCTGCTGACCGTGTCACATTCCTTGTGATAACTGTGAACAAACAGTAATATGCGTTTTATGTTGGCATCAAGCGATTTACTATTTTACTGATCGTGTGTGAGCCGTTTCTGGTCGTCATCACTATTTCATTGTGTTTCTCAGTAAAATGATGAATAAGGAGGCAAAGTAGATCAGTATCCTCTGCTTTTACCTCAACATCTTGTAGATGGACAAAGTTTAAGCTTACTAGCTTCATGTATCAGCATCATCAGTAGCTACAACTGCTACTTGTACTCAATTCCATGTTCTGTAAAAAAACGTTCGACAGAAGGGGGCTTTATAAGTATGCATGTCTTTGAGTTGCTGACAGTTTATTCATCGGAACTGTGCACACAGTAGTAGTTCTTTTTATAGATTTCCAGAGCAGTATGCCTTGATTCTTCGCTCATGCTCAAGTTCTCTTGGTGATCGGCATAGCATCAAACCGGCACAATCACTTTCCGCTGTTCGGATTTCGGAACTAGCTTAAGGTATTCATTAGCTTGATGCTCGCCGTATGTTTCAAAGCCTGTGATCGAGGTAACTGATAGAGTTTTAGAAATCCCACATCAATTATTATAGGGGAGGATGGGTTGCTTAAGGTCACAGTACAATCAAAACATTCTTGAGGTTTTGCCCAAGGGCTGCCTTGTTTGCCTTCTATATTGCTCATGTTAAAAAGACTCATCGGCATTGCTAGTGAGCTCATATTGCAAGCTTTTCCTCCAGTGTAGACTCTCGTTCAGTTGCGATGACAAAGCCGATTAAAAATGGTCAATGAGTCTATAACAATGTCTTTTTCGTTCACCCTCACTGTCCTCTTTAGAAGGGTCAAGTTTCCGATTTGCCCTTTAACTCGAAACTTATACGATAAAGCTTTTGCCATCCAGCTCGTTTCTGGTGGGCTGTTCCAACTTGAAATGCAATCTCTGGGTTGACTTTATTCACTTCTCTTTCTGTGATATGAGTCCGTTGAGTACGATAGCATTTTAGTCCTGTCTTAGATTCGTCGAATTTCAGCTGTAATCTTTTTAAAACAAAATTAAAAAAACAACACAACGCTTGGTAAACACTGCATATTTTTCTGTTCAGAAGATTTGCTAAGATCTAAGGTTTAAGCACTAGAGGTTTTGTTGTTGTTCTTTTATTGGATAAGTCTGAATAGCTTTTATCGTCACTCTTGTTTATCTCGCCTTTGATTGAGGGGTCTGTTGCAGTCCATAAACTTATGGGCAGATTCATGTGTTCCCGCATTCTCCCGCCAGACAAACCCCCTGAAGACTTTGCAGCCTTTATGAGTTGCGGTTCGATCGACAGGTCTGTCCACACACAGACCACTTCGTGGTTTCATTATATCGAACTGTGTGACCTACGACCTTGAACGTTTTGACTAGTGCCCCATACTGAATCTCAAGTCGGTCATCTGCTCAAGATACAGCCGTTAGAGCTTTGGAGTACTGACTCGACCTGCTGCTGCAAAGATAGGCAACATCTTAGCACAATTGAAGATTTAGATCGAAGTCATGTAACCGTTTGCTCTTTATAAATCTTTTATTAAGAAATGAAAACCTTGATAAGTTGTCCAATGAGCAGCTGTGCGGCTGTTCGACGATAACATCTCGACTTCTTTTTTATACGCTATGATAACTCTTGTACGACTCTGGTTTGTGGTTTCACCGAGTTTTCATTGCTACACTTGGAAAATGTAGCTAGCCATATCTTCAAGATCTCCTTGCTATTTTGTCCTCAAATAAATAGCAGCAGAGAGCACAATCTATTAAAAGTGGGCCCTCAGTGCTTTGTAAGTCGGATCCCACCGTCCATTATGTGAGTACATCCCCAGGGAGACTAATCTCATAAGGTCTTCAGTCCGGAGTCCTGGTTAGTGAGGGGGGGCTGGTTAGTGAGGGGAGGGGCTGGTTTGTGAGGGGAGGGGCTGGTTAGTGAGGGGAGGGGCTGGTTAGTGAGGGGAGGGACTGGTTAGTGAGAGGAGGGGCTGGTTAGTGAGGGGAGGGGCTGGTTAGTGAGGGGAGGGACTCGTTGGTAAATTATAAAACGCTAGTGTTTAATTTAAACAATTTTCTGACAAATTGGAACGTTTAAAATCGTCACTAAACTTGAGCTGCCTCTTGGCTGTGATGTTTGTAGTGAGGGGGCTGCCCTATCACAAACATTTGCCCTGGACAGTTACAATCCTCAAACTGGTTGTTTTTATAGCAAATCTGAACAATGTGATCTGCAGATGATGCTGCTAATCTACATAACAATGTGATTTTGCAAATCCGTTAAAAATATAGCGCAAAATATCGACTCACCGTGAACCCACCCTTTGTTGTAACTTTATGTTAATACTGTGCTCTGATTGGTTAGTCCGTCTCACGTGATGTTAATACTGTGCTCTGATTGGTTAGTCCGTCTCACATGATAGCGTGTGCCTGATATTTTGAGAATAGCGTTATTTGAGAGCTAAGCTTTTCTCGGACCACTCGTATGAATAACAATGTCAAGTTGTAACGGTGATCCTTTGAAAAATGTGCTGTGTTTTTATTTAAATGTTTGTGTTCGTCACACTATAATGCAAAACATACACTTCATACTCAAAACAAGATGTGACTTCCTCGGGCGAACATTAAAACATCCTGAAGGCATAAAAATGTTAGTACGAAACTCCTCGCTGCTAACCCAAAATAGTAATAAAATTCCAAACAACCTTAAACAAAAACGTCCCACCCAAATAGTGGTAAAAATAAAGCAAACTAAAACCAAGGGAGCCCTCTAAAGATGAAGCAATATAAACACACTGAATTTTGCCATGCAAATTTTGGAATTTGGCCGCCAATTTTTTTTGGAGGCCT